TTACAGCGAAAGCAAAAGGTTTTTCCAACTTGGGTTACATCACCTAAATTCAGTAAAGTAGTTACCCAGCTATTAGATAGTATTTCTGAAATGACTGCTGGAATGTAGATTATCTGGCTATTGTGACAATACATGGGAACAACCAATCATTCGAAATTAAAATCTGACGATTTAATAATGCTTATCAAATATATTCCCTTCCATTAACCACTGTTTTAACATAACTACAGTATACGTATGATGTCCGATCCTCGCAGTAGATAACGCTATTTATGCAATAGCGAAAATCAGGCCTGAAAAAATTCAGGCCTGTACGGGACTCGAACCACTGACCTCTGCGATACTAGTGCAGCGCTCTACCAGTTGCATAAATAGCGTTATCTACTGCGAGGATCGCATATCATACGTATCTAATAGCGCAGTTCAAAATATATGAACCTCATATATTCATTGCATCTCATTTATCACTTTCACGGGTTTATTACGAATCAACTTAACGGCCTGCTCCCAGTTGGCTTGTTAGCTCAATTGGTAGAGCGCTGCACTAGTATCGCAGAGCTCAGTGGTTCGAGTCCCGTACAGGCCTGATTTTTTTCAGGTCTGATTTTCGCTATTGCATAAATAGCGATATCTACTGCGAGGATCGCACATCATACGTATCTAATACCGCAGTTCAAAATATATGAACCTCATATATTCATTGCATCTCATAACTACAGTATGTACAATTAATATTTATCATTTTCCATTTCTACAACTCAACATTCCTACCATGAATTTGTGCCATTCCAGAAAATTGCATCCATGCAGCTACAATATGTGCTTCTGTCTGCCTATCAAAGAAATCTTTATACGAGTTGTAATCTTTTTCAGGTCCTTTCCTGGCATTTGTTTTTCCAGACCGGTTCATGGAAGCATAACTGGTTCCTATTTCTGTTGCTGAACTTTCCTTAGCGAACAACTTGAAAAAGATCTAGCAAGAAGAGAAATAATAAGAAATGAATACATTTAAAAAAACGAGGACTGCTTCATTAATTATGTGCTTTCAGAAACCATTATTTATCTGTCAGAATCTGATAATGGCTTATTACTGGGGAGTACCTATACATACATCAAGCAAATTTTTTCCAAGGTGCCAGTCAGCAAATGATGTCTGCAGCCCACTCAATTTTTCATAGCTAGAGTCAGCATGGATATTAGCGATCTTTGCATTTCTTGCCCTCTCCTCTGTTAACTGGTCACCATCCAAAATAACTTTTTCCAATATCTCTTTTTTTCCATTTATGTTAGCAGCAGGCACAAACTTCTCTTGGATTTTCTCAATTATCACAGCCATCTTAGCAGCCGCATTTGAATTCTGGAACTCTAATCCTAAACAGAACTGTATAGAATAATGAACATATTTAGTGCACCCTAAATAGTTTTGATTGAAAGAATGAGTTACCCATTTTGAAAGGTGAATAATGTCCTAATGAGTGTATCACTATACACTATCACTATACAAAAAAGGTCTATCAATGAATCAATTTTTTACAGTAAACTTCATATACCTACTACTTTTTCATGATTTTATTCATATGGGTAACATGGTTAGTTTGTTAACTGATTGAGAGATTGAACACAAAAGCTTGAACAAAGAAAATGGAGAATGGAAAATGAAAACACAACACATTTATTATGATTATCATTATATCATTATCATTATTATTATTATTATTATTATTATTAAGAATAGCCATATGTAGCTATGACACATACCACCTCAGATTTCCCCCCCATTTCTTTAGAATGCTTATGTGGTATGTGTGACACATTTGCAGGGGTCATGTCTTTGTAGGCAGGTAAATACTCCACAAGAACTCTGAGTATGAGTGGTTTAAAATCTGCGACAAACTCTAACTGGACCTCTGGGGTTGGAAGAAATTCTTTCATCTCCATAATACCTAAGCTTTTCTGTGGTTGTTCTTTGAATGAGGGACAAGCATGCACACGGTCTTTCACTGCATGGAACCAATGGATAGATTTGTTTGCTTTCTTGCAGGTCTATATTCTTGCATACTGTTCAATGTCCACATTGTCTCCAACAATTCTGTTATTATAGAAACATAGAAATCATTTTCATGATTCAATCTCAAATATGAAAGCTAGACTAATGGAAGGGTGGTTTGGAAAATGGCACTTGACACTCAATTTTCCTGGCATTCTACACGAGATATGAGGATCAAGTATTCAACAATTGCCCGGAAAAAAATATAAACATTTGTAATAGAAACATTTTTATTGAAAATTGTATTTAGTGTTCTTTGCAATCTTGTGAGAGAAAATCCCCAGCCTGAGGATCAGGCTCTCTAAACATCAAATTTTTTCCCTCGCCTGTAATACCTGTATATTGGCAGTTTCTCATTTTCTAGCCTTGATAGAGACAACATGACGTCTGAGTCCTCTAACGTCTCACTATCTGGAAGGAGGGATTTGGACGCTTCAAAAGTCACTGGATCGTAGTACTTGTAGCTAGACACACTTTGTATATTTCAATCAATAGAACAAAAATCCATTCCACCTTCTGTAGAGTGGCCAGTTTGATGCTTGATGACTTCCTCCAGAAAGAGAATTTGCTCTGTTCCTCTCGATTTCAACCTTCCACTTAACGATTTGCAGGTCAAAATGGTTAGCACAACCCTGGACCTGATTTCGGATAGTATTTGAATGACTAGCTAGACCTAAACGATGCAATAAATCCATAGCCTCTGTTTTACAGCCGCCATCTATTAACAAAGTGTTCAATCGATACACAAAATTTGATCGAGGTATCCATGTCTTTAGAGCGGAAGATAGAGCGAGTGCCTGTTTGTTGACAGCGAACGTTTTAGCAGACTTCGCAGACTTCTTTATGATATTGGTTGGACCGGGTAAGTTAGCCTCTGCTTCCTCTAACAAACTTTCATTAGAGTATTCTTTCAAGCTTAATGGGTCGCCATTGTACTTCGCGGCAGAAGGTCCTTGACTATAAGTCTTAAGTTCTTTACGAATTAGTTGAATGAGCTCTTTGACAAGCTCTCGCTGGAACGGTGGAAAACTCAAGGTAGCATTAGCGGCGGCACGATAGTTTCCCTTGCGAACATTCTTCATCATACTACTCTCGCTCTTATCCTCACAACTTCTCTCCAAACCTCTCGATGAAGCTGGATAGCCAACGAAGACCCAGATGAATAAAAAAATACTCTGCGTAAGGGAAACATCGAAAAGAAGTAATATAAAAACAATGAATGACTTCGCACCTTAACCAGTGGCGGTTGTTTTTATTATTTCTGGCGGAGGTTCTGCTGGAAGATTCATAAGGCTTGAGATATGGTCATCGATCTCATCATAGATATTTTGCTGTGTGCTTTCACCACCAAACAGTTGTTTGTTTGAGGAAGGAAAGACGGGACCATCTTTCAAGGGTTTCGATCGTTTTGCAGTAGGAGTAATCCCGGCTGGCGTTCTGATCGAAGTTATTCTCTTCGATCTCTGCGGAGTAGACCTCGTAGTTTCGTCCTCCTGACTTCTACTTGAGCAAAGTGCTTCTTTAACTTCTATATAGGCTTTGTTACAGTTCACTATCTTTGGAGCACAACGTTTGCAAAGAAAACCACTTTGTTGACTTGTTTGGATGACGCATATACCAACAGTCCGCAAAACATCTGATAATACGAGTTCTTTTACGCCCAATGTTTTACAAAATTCTCCATTTGAAGTTGAGGAAAATAAAGGAATCGTTGATGGATTTACTCCGTACTTAACCCTGAGGTTTTCTCTGCAAAGATCGCATATGATCAGCTTGCCGCCTAAAGTTGACGGCATTTCTCACGCCCAACATTTTCGCGCCAAGTTTGATAGGCACGTCAAATTCATGATGGACCAGAAGTAATTCTGATTGGTTTAGATTTTTAGTCACGCGTCACGAATTCCTAGAGGGCAGAACGGCTTCCGATATGGCTTTGTGTCAGGCTCTCCTTTTCCTTCTCCCCTCCTCTCCCCTAGAGAGCGTGATCCTCAGGCTAATCACCTACCTGCTACTTTTATTTGGTATGGAACTGTATGTAAGAAAGCTGCTAGCACAACCACAGAAAGCGAAGATGAATTGCACTGTACGTCAAAACCTTGTAAATGGAGCATTCCAAAGATACGAAAACAAGAGCCTACTAGGTTGAAAGTGCTTCAAGTGGGTTGACCTATCCGTTGCAATACTTTGTACAAAAAGCTTAACTTTGGTTCAGATAAGCAATATAAGAACATAAAAACACTGAGTTATGTATGTCATAAGTATTTCGAAAATTGTTTCAAAATCAATATGTTCTTGATGAATCTCTATACGGAGAATAGTTCGATACTTTTTTCAAACACTTAGGGCTGGTTATATATGTGCTATCAAACCCAAACCGTGGTTTTACCCAATCTGTGGGCCTCAGGCTTTCTCTATGAGAAGGTTGATTTATTTAAATCTGTTAGCTTTCAACTCTCTTGACCCTGTTCTCGAAAAGAAATGTTCAGATAAAAGGATCAGCTAAATTGAGCATTGTCTAGGATGTGGTTTTGTGAAACAATGCCCAACTTTGTTTGAATGAACCTCTCTTATCTGCTTGGCTGCCATTATCTGTCCTGATCAATAACTGTATCATTATAAGTGTTGAGACGAACAGCAATACTCTAAACTACTTTTAATTACTCCATACCACAGATATTTAGATGAGCTCCAGTAGTAAGGGGTAATAATAATAATAATAATAATAATAATAATAATAATAATAATAATAATACAGCATTTGTAGTGTGCAAGTTCCATGTGGATATGCTTTGTAACAACAAAGATTCATCCTTTTTTACCATCTAATCTGTTAATTTTCATGGTTTAAAAATTGTCTTGATTGCCGTTGGTGATCTTCAACCTTCAAATTTCTGATAAATATTTTCATGATGTATTTGTATTACTGTCAGGAACAGTTTTATATTTTTCACAGCCAGACCGCAGATGAACATTTTGTGTCTGTATGTGAGGTGTGATGATTCACATACAACAGTCATTGTGAAGTTTTCTCAGCCAATACAGGTCAGAAAGCAAACTAAGTTACACCTATATTTATAATTGAATTCTCTTCACAATTTTAAACCCTGCTCACAAAAGTATATAAAATTAATCTGTACTTGCAGACCAAAATTAAAACTTTTAGACTTGTGGTTTTAATGTTCTCCTTTCTAGGTGGTAATCGGTAAAATTAGCTGCCTGTACATTTAATACTTTTTACTATGACCTAAAATAGTTTGGAACTCTTGTAAATTCAACTGGTGAAAGGATTGCTCTACTGTTTTGAACATTTCTTTTGCCTGTCATGCGTGAAATAAGGGTGAATAGTGTGCCTTATGAGCTGAACCAGAAATACTTTGATCCTGTCTCTGCAGGTTCCCAAAGAAGATCCACATGTTTCTGTTGGTGGAGAGGAGATCCAAGGACAATGGAACAACTGTTACTGCAACAGTCATCCTTCTACAGTCTGGATATCCTACTTTATGAGACAAATAATTTGATTTGCATGAATTTTAGTTTGTTGTTACTAATATACAATTTATCATCATTAGATAATACAAATTTCTCTTCCTCAGAATGAATTCCTATACTTCAACTCACCTTCAAATTACTTTCAAAACTTTTGCTTCCGAGACTCCTCTCATCTGAATTTCTGTGAACTTATTTTGGATAGGTATCTTTTGTGATACAAAAATTATTGTCTTTTCTGGATTTTCAAGGGCTTTTGAAAAGGCCCCCTTTCTCTCTCTCAGTTGTTGCAAAATGTTGCCCTTTCTTGCAAAGAGAAAGGAAGTGTATTTCTTTAATTGTTACTGAGATTATTTTTCCTTGACAGTATTCAAATTTACAGCTGTACTGATAGTCAACTGAATTTTCCAAATGAAACAACAGTTGAGGTGAAATTTATGGGTGGTAAACTGGAGAGATCTGTGGCATTGTGAAGAGGTTTGTGACAAACTAAAAATTCAAGCATGTTGCTGTAGTTATGGGAAAAGTTTAACCTTTTTTCAAGGCTCGCCTTATGCTAGAGAAAGTGTTTTAGAATGAGAAAGGTCCACCTTCAGGAAGGAGTTGATGTTACAGTAATAGTTTCTTAAGCTCGAGCCAAGGGGCCTTCAATATTGAAGGAGGGAAAAATCTTGGTTTCTTTAGCTTAGAGCAACTCACATGATTGTTACCCTCTTTACATGGAAGCGATTCTAATCCAGCTCAAGCAGAAGCTTACATGGGCTTCTGGCTCAAGTTATACCCAGAATTTTATCAGGTTCCCCTCAGTGTCCCTGAGTGGAGAGATCCAGTGATGATGATGATGATGATGACGATGATGTAACTTTATTAAAGTGTCTAAAGAAGCCTCCTAGCTTAAGTTTAAAACCTGTGCTAATTAGGGGACACAGCATAAATAAATATAAATTAAGGTAAAAAAACCTTTGAACATAAGCGTAGGCATAAATGATATTAACAACATTTGCAGTATGACAAATGTGTCTATGAATTACAAAGATGACAGCACTTGCATCCATTATCCATTAGTGTAACTAAATCTAATGTACGTATTTTGTTTTTGAAACATTTTAAGGTGGTAACTTCTCTCAAGTCTGGGGATAATTTTCCCCAGAGACTGGGCCCTAAATGGCAGAGGGAGTGGCTGCCATATGTTACCGTATTGTACTTGGCAGCGGAGAAATCAGACTGCCTTAGGTTATAATTAGATCTAAACTTAATAAAAATGTCACTAATATAGGAGGGACATAGGTTGTTCTTGGTTTTATACATTAAAACACAAATGTCTTGTAATCTCCTGTTATGCAAACTAGGGAGTTCTACTCTTTTTAGAAGTTCGGGGTCGCTAGCATTGTTCCTAAAAACAGCACGCAGGCCCCTTTCTTGCATCCGCTCGATTTCACGAGAATCACTGGCTCGGCAAAAGTGCCACACAAGGTGGCAATATGTAAGGTGCGACAATATTGCTGTTTTAAAAAGCATAAGTTTAGCAAGTGTCAAAATACCATTAATTGTCTCTATTTGTTCATCACCTTTGCTAAAAACATACATGTCTCGTGGATTGCAACGATTGGAAGTAGGACCTACAGATTGAAGTCATGTTAGAAAGTTAACAAGTACAGCACTGACTTCTTTTAAAATGGCTGTAACCACTTTTGACATAGTTTGCTTGCTCTTTACACTGTAGCCCAAGTCGGTAATTTACTTTCAATTCATCAGCTGTGTGCCGTATTCTATTCATCATCAGATCGGAGCTCACAGCTGTTCACAGTTCGGTCCTTCAACAAGAGCTGGAGTCCTGTCGACTCCTGTTGGAAGAGGAACAGGATAACAAATGTAAGTATTCCATAAGATTGAGGTAGGACCCAGGCCACAGCGGTAGGGGGAAAGCAGTCTCAGTGATGCGCCTTCAGTGCTAAGCTCATTCATCTACCGATCTGCTATTTCGTCATTCCTTTGGGAAAATATGACAAAGTAGCGGACTACACTACCTTAGTTTACAATTGCAATGGTTTTTTTTCTGCGCTATGCGATGTCATTGATTTGAAAGACCACGCGCGACCTATTTAACGAATGACATACTAGAACTAAACCAAAGCACGACTTACTCGCGATAATTTTCCCGCCGCTTTCGTGGCTTTTCTTGGAGCTTAGGTGAACTAACCGTAGAATTTTTTTCTTTCTGCGGTTACAAGGGTTTGGATTTATGACGCTTTGACGAAATGCCTGCTAGAAGGAGTTTATCCATGACTAGTGCTTGCTGAAAAACAAAGTGGCCAAACTTGTTATGTTTGTAGGGACGATGCTAACAATGGTTTTGTTGGTGCGTGCATTGAATCCGCTTTCACACGAAAAGGAAACGGAGGTTTATTTGGAAAAACTTACCCAGGTGGATTGCTACAGGCAGGGGTACTACAAAGACCTCAGTAAGTGACTCCTTATCTGTTTGACTTTCTGGCTGACTTACCGGTACTCATTGGATTGGACTTACCGATTGACTTACTGACTGACTGTCTGACTGAGTAAATGACTGACTGACTTACTGATTGACTGACTGACTGACTGATTGACTGATTGACTGACTGATTGACTGATTGACTGACTGACTAATTGACTGAATGACTGACTGACTGATTGACAGACTGACTGATTGACTGACTGACTGACTGACTGATAATATAGATCGATTTATATAGAGCATTTCCATGTAAATGCTCTAATGACTGACTGATTGACTGATTGACTGACTGACTGGCTGATTCACTGACTGATTCACTGACTGATTCACTGACTGATTCACTGACTGATTCTCTGACTGACTGGCTGATTGACTGACTGATTGACTGACTGATTGACTGACTGGCTGATTGACTGACTGACTGATTGACTGACTGACTGATTTATTGACTGACTGGCTGATTGATTGACTGATTTTCTGACTGACTGACTGATTGACTGAGTGACTGACTGATTGACTGACTGATCTGTTTGACTTTCTAGCTGAATTACTGGTACTCATTGGATTGGACTTACCGATTGACTTACTGACTGACTGATTGACTGACTGACTGATTGACTGAATTATTGACTGACTGATTGACTGACTGATTGACGGACTGACTGACTGACTGACTGACTGATTGACTGACTGACTGATTGACTGACTGACTGATTGAATGACTTATTGACTGACTGGCTGATTTACTGACTGATTGACTAACTGACTGACTGACTGGCTGACTGACTGATTGACTGACTGACTGATTGACTGACTGATTGACTGACTGACTGGCTGACTGATTGACTGACTGATTGACCGACTGATTGACTGACTGGCTGATTGACTGGCTGATTGACTGACTGATTGACTGACTGACTGGCTGGCTGACTTACTGACCGACTGGCTGGCTAACTGACTGGCTGACTGACTGGCTAATTGANCAGTGACGAAATGCACGCTAGAAGGAGTTTATCCATGACTAGTACTTGCTGAAAAACAAAGTGGCCAAACTTATTATGTTTTTAGGGACGATGCTAACAATGGTTTTGTTGATGCGTGCATTGAATCCGCTTTCGCACGAAAAGGAAACGGAGGTTTATTTGGAAAAACTTACCCAGGTGGATTGCTACAGGAAGGGGTACTACAAAGATCTTAGTAAGTGACTCCTTATCTGTTTGACTTTCTGGCTGACTTACCGGTACTCATTGGATTGGACTTACCGATTGACTTACTGACTGACTTATGGACTGATTGACTGACTTACTGACTAATTGACTGACTGATTGACCTACTGACATACGGATTGGTTCATTTACGGATTGATCGGCCAAGTGATCACTTGACTTCCTAGAGTGAATAGCTGTCTGGTGTACTGACTTGCTGACTGAATTACTGAGTGGAAAGAGTGGCTGAGTGACTGACTGAGCCACTGACTGACTGACTGAATTATGCCCTGTCTGACTGACGAACGGACTGACTCATAGATTGATTGAAAAACTGGATTGGACTGAGCAAGATAACCGGCTGAATGGTTCAATTTACGGAATGTCCGACTGACAGTCCGACTCTACTGCAGACTAAGTCAGTAATCAATTAGCAACCAACCGACTCTGGGTTGATTAATCAACTAGCCGTAGGACTGAAAGTCAGAAGGACAAGCTCATTTGTCGATTGATTGATTGAATGTTTGAGTGACCGATTGACGGTCCATCCGTAGACTTTATCTCACGTAGATATTATACTTCTCTCATTGTACAGAAAGGAAATTCAAATTAGAAAACGCCATCCAGAGACACCGCTCAAATAAGGTTCGTGAGTTTTTATAAAGAACTTTAGCCGACAGTTGCAACAACGTCAGTTTTGCGAGAGCAAATTACTGAAATATTTCATTGACACTGTGATAGCTTAGAAATTCATTCAAAGTCTATCATAATAAACGTTCTGTTTGTTCGTTTTAGGAAGACACAAAGAGGGCGATTGACCTTTCTAACATGGTAAGTATGCAATGCTTTTTTTTTCCTTTTTTTTTCTTTTTTTTTTTTTCACTTGTCAAACTACCCGAAGAGCTCGGCTTATTTTTGATATCAGGTTTAATATAAGTATCTGTCGCATCTCAGCGATATAGGTACCAATGGTGCCTAAGCTCTGTCTTATATAATGTGTAAACGTTCTTATATGATACCAAAATCTTAGAGTTCAGTGTAATTTACATTTGATTGTCGACCTAATCTGAAATTACTTTTGCTGTATTTCATTCTGTGATGGGTCCAAAACATTTCGCACCACCGTCCCGACCAATTAGATGAAACACTAAAATCTATTCGGGATTACATCATTCGCGCTTTGCCGTCCTTAAGAAGTTCGTTTGTTTTTATTTTAATGAGCTGTTGCAATTACTGTACTTTTTGGGTTTTCCACACTCACTCGAATGCGCTCTGACACTGTTCTTTGATAGACGTAAGATGTAAGTAAGAGAGACAATTTGCAGATGACCAAGATGGAATGGGATAGTTTAAGTTACCGAGATACCAGAATTGACATTTTCCCGTGGCTGCATTCTCTGCGCCGTTTTAGATTTTAAGCTTTTATCACTGACACTGATTTACCTACAGGACTTGACGTCTTTGTCCCATATGGATCAGCTAGTGCTTATGAAAGACATCAACTTGTGTGACAATAAGCTCACCTCCCTGGATGAGTGCAACATGTTACAATGCGTGCGCACCGTGGACGCCAGTAATAATAACCTGCAGTTTATCACTAGAAGGCATGCGTTTAAACTTAGTCTTCTAGAGGAGCTGTCTCTTTCAAATAACAGTATCCTTTTTTTGTTTGAAAATGTTCCATCAAGTGTCATGAAGTTCGCTCATGGCTCCCTGTTGCTAAAGCCTTGTTTGTTGTACATAGACGCGATCCAGAAGGTCTGGGTCCAGAGTGGCTTGTAAACAGGCTCTCAGTAGCGCTGCTGTACCAGAATCTCGTGGGCTTCTCACGAAGTTTGTGAGAGTCGATCCAGCTCGCTTTGGTCGTCGAAGGGAGGTCTATAAGGATTCTGACGAACACCTGCCACTTACTTCTCAAAACCAACACTTATGGAAGTGTATATTAGTCTGTAAAGATAATTTCTAGACTGATATAGTGTTGAGGCGGCCCTGTCTCGGCAACGAGAACTATCTGAGCCGACCAAGGATAACATCAGAAGCAGAATTGCCTCCACTATACAATCAACGTCACTACATGACAGCAACTTGACTAAAGACGAACAACGCGCACTGAAACGACTGAGAAACGACGAGAACATAGTTAAGGGAGGTCTATAAGGATTCTGACGAACACCTGCCACTTACTTCTCAAAACCAACACTTATGGAAGTGTATATTAGTCTGTAAAGATAATTTCTAGACTGATATGGGGGTTGAAAAAAAGATCTGTACCCTCAACTAACTCAAGAGCACTAGCTAGTTTTTTGTGTCAGTGCTTTAAGGAAAAGTATCTTTCTTTTGGAGGCTAAAACGGCAATCTTGTGATATTTTTTTCCTTGACATGAATTGCAGATATTACAAGTTTAGATTGTCTTAAAAGTCTTCACTGCAAATCTCTACGGAAGCTCGATTTACGAGGAAATCCATGTTGTCTGTCGCCTGGTTATAGATACGGTTAAATCACTTCTAACGACTCTTCAAGAGCTGGATGGCGAGCAGATCTAACGAACGCCTTTAATTGAACTATTTTTTTGTTTGTTTGTTTTTTTATTTTTGTGGCGTTTTCAATTCTCTTGGCGGTTCGAGTCAGAAGATTTCAGTAGAGGAGCATATCAAAAGTAATATATGATTTACATCAGCTAATGAGCAAATAAATCAAAGCTTTCCAAATGCGTGAGTTACAGTGTATTTTGAAAAACATTTATTTAAAAAACGAAGATGAAAGCGTTTCGACTTTTCGATGATCTTTCTAGCCTCAATGTCAAGAAAATTGGATTTTGAGTCGTGTGAAAATAGTTCGAGCATAAATGCTAGCTGATGCAAACGCTATGACAGATTTGCGCCATTGTCATCGTGCTAAGTGATTTCAATCTGCTCTGCACGCTATAATTCCAGTTCTGTCTGTATTGTTCACTTTTCGCTTCTCAAACGAACTTTTCCGAAAAGTGATCTATATGACAAAAATACAGAGGGTAATCGCGTCCAAATTTGTATTTAGATTGTGAGTTATGTCTAAACAATGATATCGATTTCCAAGTAATGATAAGAGAAAATAAATCGCTCATTACTTTCTAATGTTAAAGATTCAAAGACAGGAAGCCGAACTTAATTGTGATGTTTAATTTTACACGCGATCAGACTGGGTTGGAAGAGAAAATGGACCGCGTTTGTGCTAAGTGCAAACATATTTTACAATTAAACTGCTTACAAAGAAGGATTTGCGGCCATAAATGTTATAGATTAGGACTTCATGATCACTTAAGTTCAATTAAAAGGAAGTTTTAGGTAATGCTTGATAGCATGTAAAGCAGTGATTAATTCTAGCGCGACGGATGTAACTTATTTACACTCTCGAACACGTCCAGAAATGTGTTCTATGACTTCCGCGCGAAATAAAGCATTTTTTCGATCGTATCTTCTCTTTCGTTTAACTTTGTTTTATCGTGAGGTTTTCATGCCAATATTTTTCGACCTGAATATTTTTCCGTGTCGGCAAGGAACCTAGCAAGTCAATTGTTAAAGGCATGCAGAGCTAGTAAAAAGACTTTTGAACAGATCAGTTTTGTGAGATTTAAGAAAAACACTCAACGAATATAGCCAGTTTTAGGCACCACTCTTGGTCAATCTTACGCTTTAAATGCATAGTTGGGACGCAAGACGAAACTAAAACTCGGATACAAAACCACAAAAGGCTAACCAATTTGATGCATACCTTTTGCAAAGCAAATTTGTTTGGTTAGACTTGAGTTTTTGTAGATGCGTTAGAGGACTCGTAAAACCTTTCATAGCCCCTTTTTTAATATTTGAAAGTAAATTCGAGATGAGAACAAACGTTATGGACTTATGTAGCCCCTTACACAGTGACGAGATATAATGTCGCCCAAAAACATCACTCGTGAATCAAACATCAAAGTAATGTGAATAAGGCAAATTCTCCTTGTCAGCACATTGGGAAGTGTATGGAAAACAGTATGTAAAATATACGTATTGATGTTAGGGTGTAAAAGGTAACGTACGCTGAAATTCGGATCCAGAGAGATTGACTCTCTCAAAGTCTCCTTCACTCTGGAGTGTTTATGGGGCAGACGCAAAGCTTGAGTGGAAGTGGGAGAGGGAATGGCGCGGGGCGGAAACGTGTGATGGACAAACTTACATCTCCGAAGAGTAGCAAGAGATTAGTTTCAGCTTAAGCGAGGCTCTAGAATTACAATGTAACTATTCCAAACCTGTTTATCCCTTAAAAGTTGTGTTTGATAATTGCCGTCGTCATATCGGACCCTTTTTATTTTAAACGAGCTAATCGCACTGAGCAGACATCTCAAGCGTCTGCCAAAGTAAATTTGGTCGCCTACCGAAGCTTTTTTTTATTATTATTTGGCTTTTTAAGATAAGTACGTGTGATTAAAACGGTTTTCATGTTTCAAATTGCCATCTCCTCTTGTTCGTTCCGTGAAAAACAAGTGTGGAACGACTTTAATTGAAAAGCCTCCAGCTTCCGAAAGATTGTAATGGCTTAACTTTTGGAGAAAATTGTTTTCCGATTCATTAAGTGCATTGTAATCCTTTTTTTATTTAATACCGCCGCGATAAATAAATGCAGCAGTTTATTACCGGGCGTAGTTAAATGAGTTTGGACTTTTTAGTGAAAAACTACGCCTAATAGATGAGTTCGTCTTCTCTTCTAGCCGGATAGTTATGGATACAATCTTCACGACAAGTAAGTTCATGTTAAAAAAAATATAATCTTTTTGCGTTCATCGCAGTTATTTTTAAACTGGGATTGTGGTTGAACTTTCGCTGGAAGGGAGTTTGGATAGAGAGAAGGTAATTGATAAGGAAAGTGTCTACAAGCCAAGCATCAATGTTTAAAGTCCATGGAATTTCCAACCACCTTCATATTGCAATTTATATTCTATAATCATCAGCGTTATTCGCGTTTTTTCTTCCAACAAGCCTTTTGAGAATCAGTCCTAAAACATTAATCTGCCAAAAGTGCCATGAACCAATTATTGCATGGCTGGGTTGCGATAAAATCGAGAAATAAGTGAAATCGGAAGGCAATTTGTGCGAAATTTGACCTTAACTAAAGCAAAGTACGCGCTAAACCCTTAAGACTTGTGCGGCATGTACAAATATTAAACGGCTACTGAATCTCTATTTTTGGCAGCAAATTCAGCTGCCTGGAATATAGCCAAATTTAGAGGGTAAGTTTCACTTGAAACCACGTCAGTCATGGCACGAAATAGTGCACCATAAACGAATTAGTTTACGAGTTTATAATTACCGCTACGTACACGTTTAAATGCCCTCATCGGGGTTTTCCTTTTCGATATTTTCGCTGAATACGCGCTTTTCATCCGAGACTAGGCTGAAATTTTTTCCTTACCTGCGTTCTTTTAAAAAACTCGTAGCATCTAATTCACCAACACGAGACAGATTTGATTGGTTCTTACCTGGTCGGTTTTTTGCCATGGGAACTGTTTCCGCGGAAAAGGTCATGAGCCGTTTATTTTAGAATACGTAGAGGAGAATATTAGCCTTGTTCGTTTATGTACGCTCGGACCACGGGCCAAATTTTGAAGTCAATCACCCACAATATTCTCATGAAAACAATCTCAACAAAGTGAACTTAGACGACAATAGATATACACTCTTAACCAGAGCGGCAAAACCTCCATCTTCTACTTCGTACTCTTCACTTTGGTATCGCTTTAGTTTGAGAATCGAACAATTATATCTAAATCAAAAATGCTATTTACGAGATGAGCTAGCATCATTAGCTTTTACCTTCTTGTGTCAGATGTGACGCATGATGAAACATTTTCAACGATAAGGTAATTTTCCGAACTAAGTATTTTCGAGATAAACTAAAAGTCTCCAGCGTTTAATTCAAACGAAGGGGTGTAGACTATGTCTGTATAAATGCATTGTTACGGTAAAATTAATTATTTTTCTGGGGGTTTCGGAGCACATTTATTTTTTTACTTTTTCGATATTTTAGCGTTCTCATTCGAGTTTATTTCATTGTGATTTTTTAAAAATATAAAAAGCCATAGTAGTTTTGCAATAGTCAACTAACACATTTTGCTTTGTTACTTTGCCTCCATTGTACACCTGTCTATCGGTACTGTGGTTGATCATTAACATGGAAACTGTAGGTAAATATAGGTGTTAATAATCTTCCTGGAAAATTGGTTCACATGGTAGATCACGGCTGAGTTTGTGCTCGTAATTTCACTTTCCTTTCATATGATAATTTTCCACGTTGCCATTTTCCGAACTTAACACCGATATCTCGTAAATATGCAAAAATTTTTAATTACTTCTCGCTTTTATTTCCTAAGCTGTTCCTCCGCAATTAATATAGGTATTTTTAATTGCAGAGCTGTGAGTTTTGACTTAAATTTGCTCCTTTTAATGGCCTAAAGTCTATTGTATCCACCTTCTTAGTTTGGAAATTTTTTCTGTAATAGAAACAGCTGGATGATATTTAAGTAGGAATCGCTTAACTTCAAATATACATATTTCCGCTTCTTTTGTGATACTATTCAAATATTGTAAATTTAGAGAAAAATAGAAACATGCGCTCGATAGTACTCAAGGAAGTACATTAGTATTTTTTGTTTTTGTTTTTTTTAATTACATCCTGCTATTAAGAAGCTGAGTTAGCTAGAGGTCATGTCGGGCGTCGGCATGAACTGAAATATAAGTGCTGTGGAACCAAACGCTGTCTAATCCTTGACGTTCATAAAAGTTCTCTCGAAGCAGATCTCCGTGTACTAGGAAATCGTCACGAGTTTCCGTTCCCGCTGCCAAGCTGTTTCTACCGAGCTATTTTCTATTTTCCCCACCGTTGTTGTTACGTTCCTCGCAAGAGTCCAGTTGTAATTGTAAGCGAAAAACCTATCGCCACAGCAAGTAGACCGTGGTTTGTTCAGTTCAATCTCGGGCCACACTAGAACTGGTTTTCATATCTAATCTCAGATAGCCATGTATGATCCTAATACAAGTAGAAAGCCTCAAACTATGCACACCTTGAACAAAATGTTTAAGGGCTTCAACGCTTAGGATAAGATTCGAGACGCAGCGCTTAAGCGAGAAAATACGGTACATCTGAAAAGTGTAACTATTTTATTCTAAGACGTAACCTTTCTTTTCCATTTTTAAAGGATAAAGGATGCTATAATGGAGCCAAACTTGACTACAAATGACACACAGTACGAAGCGATGCGAGAGGGGCGGCCGTGCTTCATCTCAGGATTTCCACGCGCTGTCCAATCTCAGTTTAGTTATTACTCCAGCTTGGTGCTTACCCCTGCCACAACTATACTCGGTCTCTGGTGTTTCCTATCAAACGGGCTGGTCTTGATCACAATTCTCAGGGGTGGACTTCGATTCCGCCCAGGGTTTCTGCATCTTTGCAGCTTAACGTTGACAGACGTTATGAGGGGTGGGGTGGTAACACCGCTGTACATTAGATTTTGAATCGCAGAGCTGATCGTTGGTAAAGTGTGTTTCAATCGCAGTGATTGGGACTCGCCTGTCATGGTGGTTTCTTTCTTTTTATGTTTGTTTGCTATGGTAGGAACCCTAGGAGTCATGAGTGTGGATAGATACTTGGCCGTTACTAAACCATTGTGGTACAAAGCTACGATGAAGAAGCAGTACGCCATTACTGCTTCTGTTGCAGTGTGGGTTACGTCCATTTTCTTAGTTGTTTTGAAGCAGGTCGACTTGTTTCCTTTGAGCGCGGTTGAAACTTTTGAAGGCGGATACGTCATTTCCTTCTCCGCGACGGTCATTGTCATCCAGTTGTGTACTCTGGCTTCCCTTCGCAAGCACAACGATTCTGTTGCACAGAAAATGGAAGAAAGCGCTCGGGTGAATCCAAATTTGGCTTCTCAAGCAATCGAACGCCAATTGGCGGCAACTACTCGTCACGTGGTTAGTCTTCTGGGGCTATGCATCATCCCCATTGCCATCTTAGTAGGTGTATCGAGCTTATTTCAACTGGAATTCGTTCTATTTGTTGAGCCCTTGTACTTTCCAGTGGCAAGTGTTTGTTCGAGTGTAAATCCCGTGCTGTACTACAAAGGAAATTCACTTATAAGGGAGGGAATAAAAAAACTGTTGAAATGTAACAGTTGTAAGTGTTTCAAGGCGCAGGACAAGGAAGAAGTTAACTTCGATATTCTTGTCTCAAATAATTGGTTTGGAGTGCCTGAAATATTCGTGTGTTATGTTTGTTATTTCTTCCAAAGTTTTCTGGCGCGACTCGCAAAATATCCCCGCGATTTCTATGTTAAACTTTCGAATAAGGAGTTTATATTCACTGAGCCTGACGTGAATTATTGTTTTAGTATAATAGCACAGGAACTTTCGTGGAATTCTTAAGTAAATTCGTTTGTTGTTAAAACCATTCTGGAAATGAAGAAGGCAGTGAGTATATTTTGCTATCAATGCTTTGATTACTCGTATCGAGAGAGACAACCAGTTTCCATAATTTATCTAATCAGCAAAAAAGTTCATATCTCACTTTCGAAGTGTCCCACCACACTTGGCAGATTTCACGCTCTGCGGAATGGCAGTTATTAGATCTGAGCCCGCGTAAAAGCGGTTTTGTCTAAAGATGCACGGAATCGAGGCACTTGGGCCAAAGGCTTTGTAAATTCTCAAAGGTATCACTGTATATTTCAAAACAACTCGCATTTTACGCTATTTTTTTGCTTTTATCGACAATCTGAAGCATTCAAAAGGCAAAGATAGCAATGGTTAGACATTGTATTGCATTTGGATGCAACAACCGGAGCGATAAACCACATTCCAAGCATCTTTCGTGGCATTCACTGCCACTGAGCAACAAAAAACTTCTGGCGACTTGGCTAGTCAAGATTAAACGGGAAAACACGCCCGTAAGTAAAAATTCCTCTTATGCAGTGAACATTTTGAAAAGGAAGACTTTTCCAAGTCACATGCTAACTCAGTTCCGACAATATTCAGTTTCTCCGAGCAGAAAACCAAAATGAAGGCTCCGAAGAAAAGACGCTCTATTGATGATGACTTTCCGGCCAACATGTTTGCAGTGTGGTTTATCGCTCCGGTTGTTGCATCCAAATGCAATACAATGTCTAACTATTGCTATCTTTGCCTTTTGAATGCTTCAGATTGTCAATAAAAGTAAAAAAATAGCGTAAAATAAGAGTTCTTCTGAAATATACAGTGATACCTTCGAGAATTTACAAAGCCATTGGTTTACGTGCCTCGATTCCGTGCATCTTTAAACAAAAGGGCTATTACGCGGGCTCAGATCTAATATCTTCCATTGAATTTTCAACTATCGCGTTCGTCACTTCCGCGGTAACGTTGACTAAACGCAGAGCAGCAATTTGGAAATTTAGCTCCCTTGCTATGATCACCTCCGCGAGGCGATTATAGCGAGATATAACGGAAACTTCGACTAATAAGAGCGCGAGAATCTCTATAATCAACAGCATGGAACCTAAGACCGATTGATTGAAATTATAACTCGTGCGACTCCTTCATGCCGCGTTTGTCCGGGCATGCACTTAAGTTTGCATAAACATATCCGCTTTAACTTCTCATTGACACTTTGGCTTCTTCATTCGTTCTGATAAGCCGTTGAGACTACTTTGGTTTAAGTTCCACGACAGTCAAACATACTGCACTGCTAAACAAGGCAATAGCATAGCTAAAATTTTGTTAAATTACTGCAAATAATGTCATCTAAATAACACTTCCACTTCGATCAATAGATCAATTTCAATTTTTAACTTGACTTTCTTTAACATAACATATCTAATCCTAAACAATTAAAAGAGAAAGTAACGACAAACAATCCGCAGGAAGGAGAAGAAGCACAATAACGCTGACTGATTTAGGAGTGTACGATAGGTTGGTAACTAAACTTTAAAATTTAAAATAGTTAGCCTCGATCAGTACAAAGTTACCAAATAAAATGGCTGAAAGTTTGGTGAGCGTCCTTAGTTGTGATTGATGCATCATCGATATAGTTTAACATGACTTTGAATAATGCACCACAATTGCAAGGTGTTACTTCGGTATCATGAATCTTTCGAATGACGTTAAAGTATTGCTCCAGTTACTATAGAAAGAGTAGGGTGATACCCTTACAGCTTTGAATGCTCTCGTACCTCACATCTCGATCCCAACGTAGAAATTATTTCCCCCTTTCGAACTGACAGAGATTAGTCTTGAGATGTTCTTGGTTGATCCATTTCTTGAGAGCATGAAGCACTGACCACTTGTCCAAAAATTGTTAAATTTTGACGATCACCCTTTTTTTTTTCCCTCAGTGTTTTGGTTAATAAAATTTTAAGCAATCCACATCAGACGGTAGGGTTTCATCACTGTTGGACTCCGAATCACTGACAAGCATTTCAGGCAATAATATCACCTTCCTCCCTTCATTATCTCCGGAGGTGTGATGGGAATTGTTCGGGTTCGTCGGCACTGTTGGTAGATTCGCATCATCGTCGGCTTCGTCCTCCGACGACGACGACCATACCTCCCAACGATCAAAGTCTACGGAGACGTAAGGCAACTGAGAAGAAAACATACAAACGACAAACAAGTAAATAAACGAACAAAAAGATAAACAAAATAAGAGATATGATGGGGGCAATGGGAGGCAATCCACGTTGACTCTCGACAAAAAAAACAAAGTTTCACTGTATTTGTTACCTTTTCTTTGCTCTTCAACAACCACTTCCATACCGCATGGTTTCTTTTCTTGAGTAAAATTTGCACCTCTGAGCCCTTGACAATTACCTTACTTTGCTGCAATGATCGAGAGAGAGAGAGAGAGAGAGAGAGAGAGAACAGGATTAACAACACCATAAATTTAGAACAAAGAGACTGACAACAAAAACACCTCACACCCACCTCAGGATCAATCTCCTCTGACAGCTCCATGTCCAGTTCATAGACTACGTGTATTAACTGTGTACTGGTGAAAGAAAACATTGACCGCATTACGGCAAAAACAAACAAACAAACAAACAAACAAACACAAACTGTATTAAAAAAGGGTAACGAAGAGGGCGGAAAAATTTGACCTTATTCCCCCCCAAAAAAAATAGTTTTCCATCGTCACTAACTCGTGTGTGGTCCATCCTCAGACGGGTTTCAATAACTTTTTCCATAAGCGGCTGCCGAAGACGTAATAGGCGGCTGCACCGAAAGCCGGATAAAACCCAAACATGAGAACCTTCTCGCAGGCTAAACATACGGCAATGAGAAGTATCACAGGCGGCGGTAGATCGCCTCAGTAAAATCGGTTTTTATGGAAACCCCTGCTCAGAACGTAACAATTTGCAGAAGGACGTTCCACTCTTGCGCTCAAAAATACTCGGAAGCATGTTTACCCATTTACTTGGTTCATCTATGTAAGACGCCCTGCATACAACTGGAATCATCCATGTTAGTTTTGGCACATGGCAAACTTAGAATTTCCTCTGACGAATCGAATATTACAGCAGAAAAAAAAACCTATGAACATGCACTAGCAGTTTTGACTCAATGATAACTAATCTTTCTTCGACGAGGTTGCTCATCTATGATGCTCACGTTAACCTAATCGAAGAGCCATCTTCAAGGAAGATGATTTTGTGTGAAGAAAATCAAATGCTGTCAAACTTACCTAAACTTGAGCCTGCTCGCAGTTATCTCGGTCTGCTGTCTCTCCACTCCGCGCAGCTTCACACAAACTCGTACCAGTTCTCGTGTTTGTGACCACACTGTTTTCGGATGCACGCTGGAAAAAAAGGAAACCATAACGGTTTTTAAGAGGGACAATAAAATATCATTCTCAAATCGTTGAAAGGGTTTAAATCTTATCCCCTAGCACTAAGCGAGTTAGGCGGCGTTTTTCTACCCACGGGTGAGATGTTAGATCAGAAGTTTTTTCCTTTCCCATACCACAACATTAGTCAAGTTTCTCCGAAAATCTGCTGATACCGAGTGTCGCGTTCTGTCCAAGAATACACCAAACCAGACCTAGGACCAGGGCCACGTTTAACAGAGTAGATATCCTTCACGGCCGATAACGTAACAGTTCACACTGAAAATAACATTTTAAACAAACATGATGTGTCCGACAACATACACACCTTACGTTTAATAAACCTTCGCCAGAGTTTCCGCTATCTCCCATATGCAGCTGTATGCAGTTTGTATTTCTTTGGTCGAAAAACCTATAATACTTACAATTACATTTTGCACTGACACGCTACCCAGCCCAAGCGAGCAACAATATTGCGGTATTAACCATAACTACAGCATTATATTTTGGTTGTGTTTCTATACTACAGTTTTTGCCTAGGGGGAGGGGATGGGAAGGGAGGAGGTATGCTCATTAAAGAGGGGCCGGGGGNGTTCGGTACCTGGGGACCCCAGCCCAAACTTGGACTGATCAGTCCCGTCGTTTTCTAAATTTGCATTCATTCCAAAAAAAGTTTTCTTACAATAGCAATTTAAACCAACTCACCTATATGGAACTACATCATTCTCTTCCACACGACGTATTGCGTGATTTCTGATGCTTACAGTAGAACTAGCAACAGCACTTCTCTGCGTCTCCGACATGGGGAAAATTTCCCTCGGGTAGAGGTTCTCAGAAGTATTTGGGGGTGGTGTAATTATCGCAGACGGAAACCTCTCATTTTTCTCGTCACTGTCCTCCCCACCGAGAGGGGGTAGGTCATCGTCTTCTTCACTGTCAACATCACCATTCTGCATCAGACCATTGACTGCTCTCGTCTCAGGCTCTTGCTTTATGACAACGCCAGATGTGATCGAGCATTCTTGGGTACTATTGTCCGGCGCCGTAGCGGTTGAGCTTGTATGTATGTTTCCAGCAGCTGAGCCAAGAAGACGCTGTAGCAAATCGCCACACACACGGCGAGGGATGATACCTAAACCTTGCTGCTCATTTGTCATTAAACTAAAAAAGAAAGGAAAGAAAAATATGTCGAACATTACTTTGGCAAGAGCATAGAACGAGGAAGAACCTCTTAAACAGCGTTACTAACCTTCGAAGGCTGCTAATCATTCCCAATCTGACCATAACGTCCTTATTGTGGTGATTACTACTCGCCAAGGTCTTTAGCGTCATGGCACCTTGCTTTATGATCTGGTAAGAAGAAAGTTAAGAATGACCTTTTTACGAAAATTGAGAGCTCCGAGGATACAGAAAGGAGATATCCGCAGACAAATATCTGAGAAAATGTAGAATTTTGACCAAAGCCAACACGTTCGCATAGTATTATCCATTTTGATGTTTGGTTCCTCGCCTCATATTTGTGAACTCACCTGTTGGGAGGGTAATTCTTGCAGCTTTTTGCAAATGTTCTCAAGGCCTCCATATTGTCGAATAAAATTGCGATTCCTAAAAAAAAACAGAAAGAAATAGATAATAACTACAGCATTGAGAAAAATAAATGAAACAACAACCTGGTATCATTGAACCATAGCGGTGCGTTTCATATTCATGATTTACAGTCTCCTTTCCTCACAGTAAAAGAAACTCACCCAAACTATCAACAGCATTGAAAATAAAGTGCATTTCGATGAGCATAAATGGCCAGAGATCAATGGCAAATATCTACCACAAGGAACAAATGAGGACTCAATATTGAAGGAACCTAACTAACTAAGCGGCGGGAAAACGCGGGTGAAGAACACGTGACGGGTTTTACTTTGCATCTGATTGGTTGGGGGTGGCGCGAGATTTCTTGACTAGTCACGTTACACAGGGAAGCTTAAACCAATCTAACCACGTATTACTATCGACACTCAATTAAAGACTGCGTTATTAAAGAATCAAACGAGAAAAAAAGGATCGATTTACTTCATGTCGATAGCTAAGTTTCCTAGCGCCCAAATTGTACGCTCTAGAACATTTTCGCTGTAAGCCAGTGACACCAATTCACACATGGTTTTCAGGCCACCACAATCTTGTACGGCTTGACAGTTTCTGGGGAAACGCAATATAATTTACCATTATTAAAAATGAACAAACAGCACAGTTATCTAAGATATAAGGCGCGTATTTCCCCATGCCACTTTACTATGAGCGTACTTAAAACTTGCAAACTTAATTGCCATTTTGCATCACGACCACCTTGGATTAATTCAAAAGAACACAACCTTTTAGGTGGAAAACACTCTTTGAAATGTAAGAGGATATACTGTAAGGACTATAAGGAATGCACAAAAAAGACCATCGAAAGTAAAATTTCTCTCCATCCCCCCTTGCACCCACACGCATCCAATCCTAAGCTATAAAAAATAAAATGCAAGAAGACACCGACAACAGGAGGATTGATATCTTTCATTGACTGGCTAAAATCAATGCTTGGAACACTTTTGTACCTGGTGTTGTTATCGACAAGAGATCCAATAGCCCACGTCACTCTCTCTAGGACCTGTCGGGAAAATGGCAGCACATACTCTCACTATCCAGGTTATTGAACATAACCAATTCCTTTCCTATCCAAATTCCTTTCCCCAACCCATACTACAATTCTTACAATTATTACATATTTTTTGCATCATCAATTTATTTCAGGAAAGAATTCCTGCTATCCCTCCTCTGACTCCTACAGGACAAAACGATTAATTTACCATGTCCCCTGAAATACCAAAGAGCGACATGGACTTGAAATCGAAGTCTTATCGCACCATATCAGTGGAGTGGGGAGTTTTGATTCCCTGTATGTAGGCCCACTCCAATCTCTTTCAGAAGTAACATAACATGACACACATGTAACTTTTCCTTTTCAACAAATTCTACAACGTGACTAAATCGGGATCGGTCATCATTTTCGACTCCAGACCACTCACGTCATGCGAACTTTTTTCAACAACTCGAGGGCAAGCAAAAGTAGAGCAGTGCAAGCAAAGAGCTAAAAAGAAAGTCAACTCACTTTGTCATCCATGGTGGTCCTCAAAAGTTCACACAAAGCCCGGAGCCCTCCTCGAGTTCTTGCCTCATTTTGATTTCTGACGAAAAATAAAAGGAAAAAGTTTCAAAACGCCAATTGGATGACAGAAGAATTCGAAAAAAGGGGCCGAAAACAGCGGAGCACACAAAAAAAAATACCTTTCTGTGGCAGCCAGATTCTTCAAAGCCCAAGCTATGCTTTCCTGAACTGCGCTGTTTTTCGTCTTGACAGGACAGATTAAAACAGAGGAACGGATAAAAACAACACGTTTGAACTTCATAACAAACAGGACCCAGCCGTCTCGCTAGGATGTTCTACATATCAATTCTCTTTAGTGTCTGCCACACATTTCTAATAATTCTAGCTTTCAGGGTTTAGTGTCGAGTCAAACAACTTCCCATAGTTTATATCTTTCTTTTTTCCTCATCACCTATTTGCTCAAAGATATATTGACACCGAAAGACGAAAGAGAAATCCCCTTTTGGACCGTCTAATTACAAAAGCTACGTTTATTCGCTTACAGAGCCTGCCTTGGCCAGTTGGCCAGGATTTTCGCGCAGAACGTCTTCAAGTCTCTACCTTTATTTTTTTTCCTTACGCAAAGTTCAAAAGATGGCAGCATTTTCACGTTTCAGTCAAAACACAGGGAAAAAATTACAAGTTCAGTCCACTGAAAACGAAGTTACCGTTTCAATAATTGTGCGAGTTTTAACAGGGAACTGACCACAAGAGAGGAAGATACACACTACGGGAAACAAAAAAAAATTTCGGAATTTTCGCTGACCGGCCGGAAACTTTATCTGACAAGCAGCAAACCCATACCTTTCCTAACAAAGAGCACATCGTTTGAAGTCCACCTTGGCTTGTTACTTCGTCGCAGTTACTGAAAATTAACAGAATCTCAAAAAAGTCGATACGACAAGGACGATATTTATTTCGCTGAATATTTCACTGGGAGAAAATCATGATTTAACTTAACTACATTCAAAGGTAGTACTCACCTTGCATTGTCAAATGAAAGAGATGCAAGACTTGCAAGTACATGCTGAAGAACCAGTGGATCTCTGCTAAGACTCAGCAGGCGACAAAGCGCCTGAACACCGCCACAGTCCCTTATATCATCCTTTGATCTGTAGAGATTTCAAAACAAAAGTTCAAAGGTTGTCTTCCTCTTCTTTCTCCTCAGACTCCCTCCCGCCTCGCTCCCTTCTAATTACCCCCTACCTTCCTCCCTAAAAAATGCATTCTTTCCTAGCACAACCTCCCTTAGAACCTTACTCGTTCCCCTCATCCTCTTTCCCTTCCTTCCTGTTTTCTCCCATCCCTCCTCTCCAATCTCCGCTTCCTTCCAGCGTTCTCCCAATCTTCCTTTCCAATCTTCACTTCCTTCCCTTTTTCACCTTCCATCATCCTACCTCACATCATCCATCTCTTCCTTTGGTCCTCAATTTCCGTCTTCAGTTCCCTTTTTCTTCTTCCTGCCATTGATGCCTCCATCCGTCATTCCATTCTTCCATTTCATCCCTTTCTCGCCCGCCCTACTTCACTCCTCCCCTCCATTCCTTTGTCCCTCACCCCACCCCATTCTTCCATTTCATGCCTTTCTCGCCCTCCCTACTTCACTCCTCCCCTCCATTCCTTTGTCCCTCACCCCACCCCATTCTTCCATTTCATCCCTTTCTCGCCCTCCCTACTTCACTCCTCCCCTCCATTCCTTTGTCCCTCACCCCATCCCTCTTCCTTTTATTCCTGAGTCTTTCAATTCCATTTTCTTTTCCTCCTTGTCAGCTTTTACCGTCTCTTCTTCCTTGCAACCTTCAGCAGTCTCCCTTCTTCTTTGCCTCCCTACTACCTTCCTTGAGTTCCCTCCTCCTGCCTATCATACCTAATTTGAAGTTCGAATAAACCTACTTACTTCTCGCTGTTCAGGACAATACTCTGCACTTCCTTAACAATTTCTGCTTTCTTTGCTTGATCCTAAAAGAAAATTGAGTTGAAACATTGGTTAAAGAACATGTTGTGTACTATTACACATTTCCAAAAACAACTGTAGAAAATAGGGTCTTTATGCTGCACCTCAAGCCCTACCTCCCACAATTTTCTGATGTACTGAATATATATCGTACACGCAACTCTGGGTAACATGGCGCATTTCACAATGTAATGCATAACTTTTGGAAAAGAAATACATAATTTTCAAACGACATAAATTCAAACCGCTCCTCGATTCGTTGTTGTCAAGGCTACAATTATGGTCCTTCAGAGTAGAAGACCAGTACCAGTTAAGTTCATCCACTGATTGAAAAGGAGGCAAAAATCCGCCAAATTATTGGAATGCAAGCGCGCTTATTCGCAAGGAGTTCTGGATGATGTTATGCGCAGTACAGGATGTGCGGTGCTTTGAAATGCAAACATCACTTGAAAATATATTTCACGAGCTCCCAATTTTCACCAGAACAAAAAGCTTTTTTCTCTATTTCTAATTTCCCCGAACATGAACAATTTCTGTCACAAAAATAAAGTTGAAAAGTTCTTTGGTTACGTTGTAAGAGACAATGCCGCTAATGAAGGCCCAAAAGCAGTGGTTATTTTGAAAGACAAAACCAAGATCTCTTTAAAATGATTTCTACTGTAATTCGATGCAATAATTTAAATTAGATGCAGACCCTCAAAAGGCTCACTCCAGCTTTTTCATTGAATTTCCTGTTTGTAAAAAATGCTACTAAGTCAAATTAATTAAAGAACTTTCGTTTTCGTCTTGTAATTTCTCACTTTGACACTTCACCATAAACTGGGTCAGAAAATTTTAATTGAACACTATATGCACTTAAACTATTTGATTTCGCCAGCTAATAATGTTTACCTTTTAATGTATCTAAATGTCAAACACTGACAGAAAATTTGGAATAAAACATATATAAACAAAGTCTAAGGTATTGTTTTGTTAGAGATCAATTTTGTTCACCGCAGAAGAAATAACACATCAGCGATGCATTAGTAGGAGTCTCGCAACGGTTCCGTCCCAAGTGTAAACTGACTCAGTTTTGCTCAACCTATCAGCGGAAAATTAGAGTGGAAAAAACAACTGAAAGGATTTATCGAGTGGTGATCCTCGGTGCTCTGTCAGTTCTTATAGTTCTCTCCAACGTCGTTGTTGTCGGGCTGATTTGCTTAAACAAAACCCTACGAGCATACACAAATTGGTTGGTTTTGTCCCTTGCTGTGACTGACATACTGACTGAAAGCATGCTATTTCCTATAAAGCTAGCCAAACCATCATGTGTTGTCGAAGGATACTTCGTCGCGACGATTTTAACTTCGGGTGTTATCAACATTTCCGCAGTGACTTGCGATCGCTTTATTGCTGGAATGAAGCCTCTCCAGTATCCCTATCTCGTTCCTAAATTCTTCAAAAGAGGAATAGCGATTCTTTGGATAGTTCCAGCCATGTACGCCTCTGTTCCACTGATTTGGGGAGCAGATCATTCTAAAACAGCCCACAGAGTATACTTGGCGTGTTTGGAGCTCCTTGGTGTCGTCGTTCCGTACATCTTCATAACTGCGGCCTACATACGGATTTTCAGACAAGTGCGCAGAAGCTTAGCGTTAAGGAAAAACTTGAAATCCGTCTCAAGACAAGTTTACGAACGCAAACGCATCTCCTCGGACGCCAAGGTGGCCAAAATCTCCTGCAATGTGTGTTTGGCGTTTTTGTTCTCTTGGATGCCTATTCTCTACATGACAACAGCTTTTATTAGAAATCGGTTCCACGTTGTCCCCGACATCTTACCATCGGTTTCTCTCTTCACCATAGCTACTGATTCGCTGGTAAATCCCCTGCTGTATGCTTTCCTAAAACCTGATTTTAAGATGGCTCTACGAAATTTATATCAGAAATCTTCGAAGAGATGCGTTAAACAACAGTCGATCTTTATCAGGTCTTATCATTGCAAAACAATCAAAGAACAACATGATACGTTGGCATGCGTTTAAGCCAATCTTGGGCAAGTCTCAACTAAAGCACGACACATGGAACGAGTCTGCTGAAAAAAACAAATACTACAAGCATTGGAAGAATCTTCTCTCCTCATCATTCTCTTCTGATGCACCAAGAAGGACGCTAATTAAACAAACACCTTCAAGTACATTTTATGTTTGAAACAAATAAAGAGAAAGACAATCATTCTCGAGCAGATGGTACATTTCGAAGTCGAGTGAAGATGCTGAACATTTGGTTACAAGCCAAGAGCAGGAAAAACTCAGATTCACCATCTAAAGAATATGATTAGGATGACGTTTAAATTCATACATAATGCTTTCCCTTTCAATCAGGTGGTGTGCGGTCTACGACTGCGGTGCGTTCTGGGTCTAATGTCGCTTCAAGTTCATTTTCATTTTATATTCATGCGACTAAGGTCAACATGAATTCCGAACATTTATGTTTGTGTTTCTATGGGCATCAAAACTTTGTTAGTGCATTTTAAAGAGGTGACAAGAGAAACTTTCATTAGTGGCTAAGAGGAGAAACGGCTGCCGCACACGCTTCCTGCTAGCTTCACAAGGCTTTGACAATAAGTATCTAGCGAACTGGTCAATCCAGGAACATTTTAGCGACTGAATGCAAATCAGTTTCACCGATTAAACCTCCTTCAGATCCTGTTTATTTGCATTCTCGGTTTTCTAACTGTAAGAGTTAAATTCTTTTATTCCGATTCTAATATGACAACAGTTCTCTAGGCATTTGTACTGGATATTTTGAAATACATATTCGCAGCGGCGTGAAACCGTTTGTGGTCTGTGTTGGATTTCCGGCCCTTACTGTAAAGATCGCTGAACAAGAGGAACTTTAAAGGTTACACTAGAAATACAGAAAGTATCACATAAACATGGAGGCTGCTTACCTAAAAGCAGTAGAGGAGTTACAACTTTGCGAGCAGCTCAAGTGTTACAATTCTGCGAGCACCTGAGATGTTAAAATTTTGCGCTTCGATTCTTCACATTATTAATATATTCAAGCAATCATGGAATTCTCCTAAACTTTAATCTTAGAAAGTGAGAGAAACTTTTTATCAAAAGCATAGCATTGGAAAGAGGGGAAAAAAGACTGAACAGGCGTGGAAATTAAAAATCGGGCTTTTGAAGTGGCATCCACAATTGGCTTAGCATAAACGGGCTACAAACTTTTATTGTGAATAATAAGCCGTTGGTGTATGATCCTTCACAATACAACGCCACATATTCTACCAATGCTGACGTGTCTTCTCTTGGCCTTTCTCCGGGTCGCATGGTATTACTAGAAGAGCTACTTGCACTGAAAAACAAACTCTTTAGAGCTGGTCCTTTATCGACAGATAATCTCAACACCAAACTTCGCAAAGCAAAAAACCGTCAACTTCAAACGCAGGGTTCGGAGAAATAGCAAGAGGTGCGCTGTGGTGCGATGCACTCAATGATTAGCCCTATCTAAAGGGAATTATTAGGAGTACTTTTTGGTCAAGTGAAAGCAGGGAACAGTAAAGAAAAAAACAAAAAGAAAAACAAAAACAGAGAATAGGGCGCGATTCAGAAGGATTTGCACCCTCGGAAAAAGGTCCTATGATTCTTATAAAAAACACAAAAACATAAGTCAGTTGTATATATATATAAAAAAAAAAATCAGTAGTCACAAGTTATTGGGGAAGGATTTATTTTCTAGTCCGCATATATTGGCAATAGGAAAAACATGGACTTGAACTTTCCTGTTCGAAACGACGCAACCACATGGTAAGACCGCCATGTTGGAAATGTGTCAAAATAATGCACCGCGGTCATAGGCCGCACAGCACCTGCCTTTCAATTTATGACACATTAAGACCGGAGTAAGATGGATGAAAATTTATTACTAGTTTACCAACCTAACAAAACAAACAAGGACTCCAAATGACATATGAGCTTATAAATTAAACAAATTATTAAAGCGAATTGTCGAGTTATTTAAATAACTCTTTTTTCGTTCTAATTAACATGAGGTTGTAACTGTTAAAGAGCGTGGAATAGAGTCTTTTGAGTTATTTAACAGCGTTAGAGTTGAACAATGTGGCAACAAACAGTCGTAAGTCCGCATATGTTAGCAACACCCCAGAGTACGTACCGACCACCGATCCGGTTTTAAAGAGTGCCATAGTTATTAAAACGGCTCCTGTCAGTTTGTCTGAAGCAGTAAGCGACATTGCAACCCCTTTGAGTGTTTCCGTAATTTCTATTTGAAGCAAACCAACGCACAGACAGAGACGTTTGACACCACCAGGAGAACTGCATGAATACCGAGGCTAACTACCACGTACACCTGCGTTGCCAATTCCGTCTTGTTTTAATGTAAATTTTTATACAGCCAAACGCTGTTTGTATTCAAATGTAGTTATTTAGATTTCTTGGCTCACGCTCGAAGCAATTTTGACAGATATTGGAAAATTTATAGATATCTTCTTAACAAACTTATCACAAGTCAGGTGGTCAAATGGTTCGAATGGTTGAAATTAAATTAAATTGAATGTCGACAAGACGACGTATTCTATTCCGGGGTTTTTCCGACTGATTAATTCTAGAACTCCCATATAATTCATCATGTAATCCACCCCATTGTGTCTTCAGAACTCATGGTATTGGTGTCTTGAAATGACTCAGACCCTTCGGTAGTTGTGGTCTTGGGTACATTTATTTTTTCTCTCATCAAAGCATTGTTCGTTTTTTTTTTTATATATAATCAACCGATATTATTCTTAAAGTTAAAAAGTGTTGTTTTATTCACGAAATACAAAGTGCTTTAAATTTTATTTCGACTTTAATTTTGAATATATTCCAAAGGCCATACGTCAACACCTGCTTATCCATTCCTTATGAAATCAGCAAGTTCTTTAAAAGTTTTTAAAAGTCTCATGGCATCAAAAGATGAAGACAACATGGCGCAAAATGAACAAAAAGCTTTCCCGCTACAGGCGAATTCAGCCCTTAGTTAACTTTTTAGACAATAAAGAAAGGTACAAAGAGAATAAGTGGTCTGTAAATCCATCTTTTGTGGAGTCAAAACAAAGTTTAACCCTTGTTCATCCGAACTATGCTCTAAACAATCTTTAATAAAGAAGAAAACATCATTTAAACGCTCAGTTTTTGCCAAACTGTCAAAAGAGCTTCTATCTAGCATTAAAAGATCTAATTATTTCAAAAAGCCCTTTTAAGGGAAACTTTCGAAGTCCATCAATCGTCAAAAACCAAGGCCCTAATTATGAACCCGTGTCAATAAACGACCCAGAGTGTCTATGCGCTACTCTAAAACGACTCGCCTTCGATTTTTGGTAAAGGTTGCTGACGGGGCTCTTCGCCACTTTTTGTGCCTCTATCTGTTTTCGCTTGAAAAGCCTGTTTAAGTTTCGTATACGTCGCTCTCACTCGATCACTCTTTCGACAGATATTACGACTGACAATCCTGAAATCTGGTTTGAAGAAAGCATACACGAAGGGATTTACTAGTGAGGCAATAGCTACTGTGTATAGTGAAACCACTTGGAGGACATTTGGAACGATGTCGAAACGATTGAAAATACCTTCGGCCGTTGTCATATACATTATCGGAAACCACGAGATAAAGAACGCCACCGAGATAATCCAGAAGACTTTCGCCACTTGAGCATCCGAGGAGACGCGTCTGTTTTCGTTGATCTGTTTCACAGCACCATCCAAATTTTTTCTCAACGCTAAGCTTCGCTTTACCACCTTGAATATCTGAAAGTAGGCGACATTAATGCAGATATACGGAATGATCACACCAAAGATCTCATAGCAAACAAGGTACACCAAGTGGATTGTTTTTGAATAGTCCGTTCTCCAAAATAATGGCAATAAGCTGTACATGGTTGGAAATAACCATACGGCGATAACAGTTCTTTTGAATAAATCAGGTATGCGGTAAGTGTACTGCAGAGGCTTAATAACAGCAATGAAGCGATCGTAGGTGAGTGCGCATATGTTAGCAACACCCCAGAGTAAGATCATACTTATTAAATAATCTACCACGACGTGCGTTGGCCCTATGATCAGCGTGGGAAACAAAATACCTCCTGTTAAAATGTCGGACACGGCAAGTGAAACAGTCAACCAGTTTGTGTATGTTCGAGGGACTTTGTTCAAACAAACTAAACAGACAACAAATGAGTTCACGGCAACGATTACAACGGAGATCACACCAAGGGAAACTTCCACGTAGAACTCCATCCGTAATTCTTTTGTGTCTCTTTCCCTTGATATCCTCGGATATCGTACAAAAGGCTTTCTTTCTTCAGCTGCTTTCGCCCACTTCCTTGGCCTAACAATGGTGCTATTGTGGCAAATATTGTCACCTTTAAGTTAAGTGGACACGCGTAAATGACACTCCTTGTAAACATTTGTTTAATTTTTGTCATGTGACGTTACTTCCATGACATAAATAATTTAGTTTTTTCGTATCAATTGCCTGGGAAACGGTTAATACCGCTTTCGCTCTTGTTGCTTAAGACAAAAGCCACGCTTAACACCTGTACCCAGACCGCATTAGTAACGAAAATGTTCTCCATGGTTTTTGCAAGAATTTTTTCTTCACAAATTTATGGATCCTTAAACAGCCTAAGCCAAGGATAACTGTCCGTTTATTCTTCTCGCTGTTCCATACATACCTAACTTTTTGAACTGAAACGAAAAACTCCTCAAGCATACAAAACTAGGACCTGAAGGACTTAATAACTGAAGGAAATATCGATTAAGATAATCGATATTTCCTTCAGTTTGATTGTCAGACGTGACAGTTCTTACATAGACAATAATTTATGTTGACCCAAGGGAGAACATCGGCACTTCGCAAACTTCATAAAATTTGACAATATTTTGGTCAGACAAAAAAGATTGCCGAACACTCTCGTCGTTAGAATCTACTGCCAGCAAGTACATGTTACATTCAGATCGGTTCTACGGGGTATGTAACTTCGGATTGAAGAGTAATCGACCCAGTTTGTGTTCCATACATATTACTTTTTTGTTTTTAAGTAAAAAGAGAGGTTCTTTTCCATACAGCAAAGACAGCATTATCAAACTCAAATGACAGTGTCAAATGCGGTGTAGTATTAATAAGTATGCTAATCACAAATGATGTATGGCAAAACTGCAGCATAGAATATAAATGAATAAAAAGAAACTTAGTCCTACCTAACATCGATTAAGTTAAACTACACAAATGTTTCCCATGAAAACCTCAGATTTCTCTATAAAAATTCGTCCTCTTTTTGCTCGCCAGTGAAGAAAAGTATTATGATTATTTTTTGAGGAATGAATTAGAACGGTATGCTTTAACAAAAGTGAAAACATCTGTTACACAAAGGTAAACAACCATATTACAAACAAACATAATACTCTATTTGTCAAATAAAGTAAAGGACAATTGTTGTCATAGAACCACTGATTTAACACTATCGATAGCTAGAACACAATATTTCGGTTTAAAAAACTTCAACGATGTCTTCCCATCTCGTAGGTGACTTTTCCATTTTTCAAATCTCCGTGTCTTGTTAAAGCCATACTGAGTATAAATCCTTTTTAATTGTTAAAAGTATGCTATTTTTCTTCTATCAGTAACCGCCCAGCCCATTCGGCCAAGTTTTAATTCATCGGAGAAGAGCGAAAGAGCGTATAAGCGTCTATGTGCTACTCGTAAGGGGGGAAAGCTTCAGGAAATTTCGCTCTCTCAAACTGTTTCTGTTTCTGTTTTCACCTGACAAAGCTGTAGAGGTTTTAAGGATATTGCTTCCTCTCGTCTACTCTTTCGACAGATGTTGCGAATAACAACTTTAAAATCCGGTTTCAGGAAAGCATACGATTGGATTAACTATGGAGGCAACCACTACTGTATATAGTGAGACTGTGCCCATGACGCTCGGTATAATGTCTGAACGATCGAAAATTTTGTTCGCGGTTGTCATAAAAATGATTGGTATCCACGAAAATAAGTAGGCCACCGAAATGATGCAGAAGACTTTCGCCACTTTACCATCGGACGAAATGCGTCGGTGTTCGTTGATTTGTTTTATCGATGATCCAAATCTTTTCCTCAACGCTAAACTGTGCCGCACTTGCTTAAAAATCCGAATGTAAGCGACGCTCAAGATGATGTACGGAATGATGACGCCAACTATCTCCAAGAAGGCAACATACCACTTGCGGAACGGTGATGCACGATCCGCCTCCCAGAACAAAGGAAGTAAGCTGATAATTGTTGGGATGAACCACAGAGTAACTAAAGTTCTTTTGAATATCTTGGGTGTGCGACAACGATACTGCAGAGGCTTCACTGCAGCAACGAAGCGATCGTAAGTGAGTGCAAATATGTTTGCAATACCCCAGAGTAATATCGAACTAATCAAATACGGAACGACCGCCGATTCGGGTTTGAAGAGGGCCAAAGGTATTAAAACGGCCCCTGTTAGAATGTCTGAAGCAGCAAGCGATAAGGTCAACCAGTTTGTATACGTCCGTAATCTTTTGATAAAGCAAACGCACAGACAAATACGTTTGAGACCACGACGAGAACTGAAAGAGCACTGAGACTAACTACCACATACATCTGCTTAGCTGATTCCGGCACAACTTTATGTGGAAATTGGATTCAACTTACGTGGCCTTGCGCTCAAGAAAATAATGACAATTATTTTTTTCTCAGTTCGTGAGCGGGCGGTATTCTACAAATCCTGCAATTTGATAGGTTCCGAGAGTGGGCAGTATTCTTCCCATCGTGCCCGCTCACAGCGATGGGGTATCCGTTTCGCTCGAGTCACTTTGCAAAACATCTCAAGCTTCGTTGCAGGTTTTCACAAATATATCTAATTCTGCCGGCCGGGCAGAATTTTTGAGCAAAGACTTCGGTCACGAACTTTGGCGATAAATAATATTCATTCTTTCTTCTCCCTCGCTCTCAAATCACTATGGTTTTTCTGCAAAAATTGATTTCGAAATCAATTTGGTGGTATTACAGTCAAACTAAGTGAAGCGTACCCCTCAAGGTTACATTAATAAAATTATCATTTGGATATTGAACCCGCCAGTCGTTTCAAGAATGCAATAATGAATTGATTATTTGATTATTGAACCCGCTAGCCGTTTCACGAATGCAATAATGGATTGATTATTTGAATATTGAACCCGATAGCCGTATCTGTTTTGAAAAGGCGCGGATCATTGTTCAAATTAGAAGTCCATTTCTGAAGTCCAATAAGATTGTTCTATTTGACGAGGAATCCTGAAAATGAACAAACTGTACTGTAAAAACACTGCGAAAACAGTCGATCGCAAATATTAACGAAATAAAAAAAAGTCTTGCGATGGCTTCGCCCGTAAACTATTTTTTTCGACCATGAATACACACAAGAATTTCTACAAGTTCGTCAAGATGTAAATAGGCGAAAAAAGCTCTCGATAACATTCCATGTAGTACATTTACAAGAAGTTCTACACAACAATCGAACTCAAATTTGCCCCCATGTCTGACGCCATGTTGAAATAGTTCCGATCCATCATCACGTGTTCGCATAATCAAATCAGGAATGAACTTCTGATTTGAACGATGATCCGCGCCTTTTCAAAACGAAAACGGCTATCGGGTTCAATATTTAAATAATCAATCCATTATTGCATTCTTGAAACGGTTAGCGGGTTCCATGTTCAAATATTCAATTCGTTATTGCGCCCCTGAAACGATTAGCAGGTTCAATATTCAAATAATCAAATCATTAATGTAATCCCGAAGGGTACGCTTCACTTAGTTTGACTGACTCTCACTCGTTAACATCTGAAGTCTTCAACACAATTTGTTCGTTTGTGAAACGTTGAGCGAAGTATTTGAGTTCTTCTCTAAATACACTTTCGCCTATTCTTGCAAATCCCTGAATTTGGACTTTTCTACCGTAAATTTCTCATCAGAAACCGGAGGAATTTGATGAATAAATGTCGCATTAAATTCCCTTATGTCTAGCTGGCAAGAGTCTCACTGACTTTAGCTTTTTAGTCAAAGAAAGACAGATTTACACACACCATTGCAGAAAACAAACAAGCAGACTAACAACTCAACACACATTTGCGTTCACTTACAATTTGACTTTCCGTGACATTTTAAAACGGAACAGAGATAAATCTTCGAAGATTAATCGTCGTTGGAAATAAACAATACTTTCTGTAAGATCTCTAAGTGTTTTTTTTTTTTCACGAGAAGATCGCCGCATTCAGTTCACTCGTGTGTCTTTGTCACACCAGTACTGTTGTTAATTCAAAAGCGTACGCATTTCTTTATTCTTCAATTGACAGGTGTCACATGGTGACAGTTACTTGTCAAAAAATGTTTCAAAGTTTGCATGGAAGCCTTTTCAGTTGCATTTACAAATTAAAAATTCGGTGGAGGCATATGGTATTTCGTGGACTGGACTGGACTGGACTGGACTGGACTAGTAAAACGCGGACTAGTAAAACGTGGACTAGTAAAACGCGGACTACTAAAACGCGGACTAGTAAAACGCGGACTAGTAAAACGTGGACTAGTAAAACGCGGACTAGTAAAACGCGGACTAGTAAAACGCGGACTAGTAAAACGCGGACTAGTAAAACGCGCACTAGTAAAACGTGGAATAGTAAAACGCGGACTAGTAAAACGCGGATTAGTAAAACGTGGACCTTGGAATCTCTTCTAAGTGTTTCAAAATTGCGGAGACTAGTCTCGTCGTGTTTGTGACCCTTGGAAGCGATGAGCGACTGGACAATGGCCGTCTCGTCAAAATACACACAAGACCTTTCCGTCCAAATCGTTGGTACAAATTATTTAAATCCTCATATCTTAGGCCACTGCCAGCAATTTTTTTCGGCAATGCTTTGCTTTATTGGGCTATCCGCATGACCTGGGTTGTACAGCTTTCCTCGAAAAGACANCACGTTTTACTAATCCGCGTTTTACTAGTCCGCGTTTTACTATTCCACGTTTTACTAGTGCGCGTTTTACTAGTCCGCGTTTTACTAGTCCGCGTTTTACTAGTCCGCGTTTTACTAATCCGCGTTTTACTAGTCCGCGTTTTAATAGTCCGCCTTTCACTAGTCCGCGTGTTACTAGTCCGCGTTTTACTAGTCCGCGTTTTACTAGTCCGCGTTTTACTGGTCCTCGTTTTACTAGTCCGTGTTTTACTAGTCCGCGTTTTACTAGTCCGCGTTTTACTAGTCCGCGTTTCACTAGTCCGCGTTTTACTAGTCCGCGTTTTACTAGTCCGCGTTTTACTAGTCCGCGTTTTACTAGTCCGCGTTTTACTAATCCGCGTTTTACTAGTCCGCGTTTTAATAGTCCGCGCTTTACTAGTCCGCGTTTTACTAGTCCAGTCCAGTCCAGTCCACGAAATACCATATGCCTTCGGTGGAAGCTTTCTCTTCAATTTGAATAACGTCTGTATTCTTTATCATCCACTCGCTAACAAATCGTTAAGGTTATGTAGGATTTTCCGTAATTAAACTCGTAATTGTAGCCCTAAATCATTCGGGTTCTTTTGGCACTCATTTTGTTATGTGTTAGAAAAAAATAAAAATGTTATTCACCAGCATAGGTCGGTCCGTATTGGGAAAAACTGTGCCCTTTGTCTTGAGTACCGCCCGATTGAGGACGGCCTCGGGCGGTATCCAAGACCTCGGGCACAGATGTTCGCAATACGGACCTTCCGGCTGGTGAATAACATATATA